CTCTGGACCAATCACAAAGGACTGCGCCATCTGACCAATCACAGCAGTGAGGGCTCACGGAAAGGAGGGGTTACGAGAGACTGATTCTTTGAACTGCTTCGCACGAGTCGTTTACGAATAATTTAGAAATGAGGTAAAATTAAATCTATTTTTTGAGAAAACTAACACGTTTTTTGACCTTTCATGCATGTAAACCTGTTTTAGGAGACTCATAAAACAATATAGCAACATTAAAAATGGCATAATAGGGGCACTTTAAATGTTTTATGGTTCTTCTGTAATTCTTTGGTGCTAATTATTATTGATCTATTTATTTTCACTTGGCATCAATATTTAGGAAAATATTTAGGTCAGGAAAATTTTAGAACTTCTATCATTAATTGTGAAACATTGGATTAGTACAGATAAGTTTTTGTACTCATTTTGCTTGTTTTTTTGTTTTGTTTTTTGCTTTTGTTTCTGTGACATTCTGTAATATTCTGTTTACAGAATATCATTGTGGGACTAGTCACAAAAGGCAAATCATCCAACGTACACTTCTGAAGTTTTGGAAGACTCACTTTTGTTAACTGCTTATGTTAAACTGTTGTTGTTAGCTCAGTATTATGCATGTACCATGTCATTTTATGCATGAGTAATAACGGACGGAGTTGTCAATATATATATATATATATATTAGCATTGTTAATGATACACAAAAAGTCATGTGATTTTCGTATGCAGCATGTCAAACTTCATAAAGAAACATTAAAAATAAAAGCGAAACAAAACTTTTATAAAACAAATAGTTTCACTGTGAAATAAAAGTGAATAGATAATTGGGGTTTTGAGCTTCAAAATAACAAAGAAAACATAAAAGTAGGCCACTATATTCTGAAAATCTCCCCTTTTGCTGGCGCGCTCAGATAAAATAGTACTTTATTAGACGGGCTGTGTCGGATTTAACATTTGGTCATGTGACGCTCAAGAACCAATCATGTTTGGCATCGATATACTGTCTTTGATTTGCCATTTCTGCTGTTTGTATGACTTTTGTACTAGTTTCAGAAATGTAAAAAAAATAAAATAATCCATTCCATTTTTCTTGAAAGAATTAAAGTCATTATGAGTTTGGAACAACATGAGGGTGAGAAATTGATGAACGGATGAACAATGCCTTTACATTAACCTTGAATGCAGTTTAAGTCACTTTGGATAAAAGGGTCTGCCAAATGCTGTAATGTAAATATAAAGATCTGGGATGGTAACCAGGAAGTTGTAGGTTTGAATCCCGTATAGTAATTAAAATGTTATAGCTGTTCACTTAAGGTTTCTTCAAGATCTGACAGTTGCTAAGTCCAAGAGTCTTGATGATCATAGTAATATTAATAACCTGACCAGATAAGGGGGAAAAATTGGTTGTAATGTTTCTGCAGCCAATCAGTTTATTTTATAAAATAATTGGGTGTGCATCATGTGGGATCAGCCTAAATGTGTGTGGAGTGTTTATACAGCATGTGTATTAAATATAGATATTGACTAATAATTACTGTATTAACACCTAAGAAGCTCAGTTCAACAAGTTTGATTTCCTACCTTTTTTTGTGCTCAGGACTTCTCAAATGACGACACCAAGCTGGAGTACAATGTGGACGCAGAGAATGGGATCGTCATGGAGGGATATCTGTTCAAGAGGGCCAGCAATGCCTTCAAAACCTGGAACAGGTCTGAGACGAGACAGAAAATCATACTGTGTCCACTTACAGCAGTAACTAATGGCCTATTTACTGGACAGCTCCAGGTAATCACGTATACATTGTTTTCTTTGCAGGCGATGGTTCTCGATTCAGAACAATCAGCTAGTGTACCAAAAGAAATTTAAGGTAAACATAGGATAATATAAAGAACACACAATAAATTCTAGCTTCAGCTGTGCGTTCAGCACTCATTGTGGCGTGTTATTTCAGGATAACCGTACGGTCGTGGTGGAAGACTTACGCTTGTGCACCGTCAAACACTGCGAGGACATCGAGCGCAGATTCTGCTTCGAAGTGGTTTCTCCAACAAAGTGAGTATAAGCACACAATTCTGATTCTCATAGCAGTTATGCTGCATGTTTGCAGGGAACACAAGCCACATTTACTCTTTGAACAGCTGAATTACTTAATCAAATAATTAAAGCGTGTTAGTTTTCTGTTTATTTAAATGGTAAGTGTCATTTCTGTGCCACTAGTATCAAATTAACAACTGTTTGGAACAAATTTGCAGTTGTTAATTTAATGATATATATTTATTTATTTATTTATTGCTACATTGCTGAGATGGTGGAAATTATTGGTAATAAAACACCAGTGTATGTGTAACTACTGAAAATAGTTTTCACTAATTGAAATCAAGCTGAAATAAAATAGTTAATAAATGGTAAACAAATAAAATAAAATCTATAAAATAAAATATAAATGTTAGATTGAAAAAAAAAATGAAAATGAGAAACGTTGCCCTAGAAACTAATTGAAATTTGAGTTAAGTACTAAAATGACTAAAACCAAAATGTATTTGTTTAAAAAAAAAAATAATAATAATAATAATAAAATGACGAAAGCATGTAACACGGCTACTAAAATGAAAACTGAAAATAAGAAAAGTGATTTCAGAATATAAATAAATACTACAATAGTATAAAAATAATACTAAAAAAATACTGTTTGTAAAAAATTACTTTTAAAAGTAGTCCAGTATATTAATATGAAAAGAGCTGAATGAAACTGTTTTCTTAATCAGTATTTTGTCTTGTTTCACAGTATAAATACCTGAATATCCATTATCCTGAATAAACAAAAAAATCACATTTCAAAATTTCAGATTTTTATAAAATGTTTTGAAATAAGATTATTTTTCAAACCCCTGTTGCAAACTGCTATTGTTTTTAAGCATAGCATTAATAAAATGCCTAAAAATGTAAATAAAAATAACATTAAAATTTAAAATTTTCATAGTATATATTTTAAAGTTATTTTTCTCACACCTTTTGCAAACTGTAATTGTTTTTTGACATTAATCAAATGTCATAGTTTATGCCAAAAACATTCCAGAGTGATTAAAATGTTATATCTCACTTTAAAACGAGACAAAAAACTGATTAGTATGATTATTTTTCAGTGCATATGTGACACTGTACATATGATTGATGTTGTTTCTGCTAAAGGAGCTGTATGATGCAAGCGGACTCTGAAAAACTCAGGCAGGCCTGGATCAAAGCCGTCCAAAACAGCATCGCCACAGCCTTCAGGGACAAAGCAGAGGACGCCGAGGTACCGCAGTTTCTATTTCATCCAGCTAATTAACGGCAGGCTAGAGATGCTAATGACGGTGGCCAGCGCTTTGATAACAGTGCGATGTTGTTTGGCAGAAGATGGACAGAAAGTCGTCTGCATCTTCAGGCAGCCTGGACTCGGGTGGCGAGGTGAAGGAGAGGAGTCTGAAGGGCGAGAGCGCGCTGCAGAGAGTCATGGCCATCGGCGGGAACAGCAACTGCTGTGAACTGTAATTGTTTTTTGACATTAATCAAATGTCATAGTTTATGCCAAAAACATTGATTAAATGTTATATCTCACTTTAAAACGAGACAAAAAACTGATTAGTATGATTATTTTTCAGTGCATATGTGACACTGTACATATGATTGATGTTGTTTCTGCTAAAGGAGCTGTATGATGCAAGCGGACTCTGAAAAACTCAGGCAGGCCTGGATCAAAGCCGTCCAAAACAGCATCGCCACAGCCTTCAGGGACAAAGCAGAGGACGCCGAGGTACCGCAGTTTCTATTTCATCCAGCTAATTAACGGCAGGCTAGAGATGCTAATGACGGTGGCCAGCGCTTTGATAACAGTGCGATGTTGTTTGGCAGAAGATGGACAGAAAGTCGTCTGCATCTTCAGGCAGCCTGGACTCGGGTGGCGAGGTGAAGGAGAGGAGTCTGAAGGGCGAGAGCGCGCTGCAGAGAGTCATGACCATCGGCGGGGAGAGGAGCGGCCGGGGCGAGAGCGCGCTGCAGAGAGTCATGACCATCGGCGGGAACAGCAGCTGCTGTGACTGTGGACAGCCGGAGCCACGCTGGGCCAGCATCAACCTGAGCATCACGCTCTGCATCCAGTGCTCGGGCATACACAGGTGTGTGTGTGTGCGCGTTTTTGTGACAAATGAGGACATAAATTTGTATAATGACAAGGGTATGACATAGGTATTACAAGGAGAAGGTGACTTTTCAGGACATTACCCCATGTCCCCACTTTTCAAAACGCTTATAAATCACACAGAATGAGTGTATTGAAAATCTGAAATAGCACAAAGTTTCCTGTAAGGGGTAGGTTTAGGGCTAGGGTTGGTGTAGGGCAATAGCACAAACAGTTTGTACAGTATAAAAACCATTACGCCTATGGAATGTCCCCACTTTTCACAAAAACAAACCTGTGTGTGTGTGTGTGTGTGTGTGTGAGAGTGAGTCTGTGTGAGTGTGAGTGTCTATGTCTGTGTGAGTGAGTGAGTGAGTCTGTGAGTGAGTGAGTGCGTGTGCGTGTGTGTGTGTGAGAGTGAGTGTGTGAGTGAGTGTGATTGTGAGTGTCTATGTCTGTGTGAGTGAGTGAGTGAGTGAGTGAGTGTGTGTGCCTGTGTGCGTGTGTGTGTGTGTTCGACCGCAAGTATTAGGGAAGGTTTTGTGTGTTTTATTACAAATGCTGTTTTTTTGTTTGTCAGGAGTCTTGGCGTTCATTTCTCAAAGGTCAGATCTCTGACGCTGGACACGTGGGAGCCTGAACTGCTCAAGGTGAGTCTGTCTGGAGATGCGATTCTTCGCTCCTGACACGATGAACATACAGATGGACAGATGTTTGTTAGAGAACATAAACATCTGTCCAGATCTTAATTTCCATTAAAAAACATGTTTTATTATAACAAAACATTTGACAAGATGTTTTTTTTTCTCTTCTCATTCCAAGATGGTCCAGCTTACTAATAAAAAAGAAAACCTTCAGTTCTTATATATGAATGAATAATACAATTATTTTTGTATAGCTGATGTGTGAACTGGGAAATGGTGTCATAAATCATATTTACGAGGCTCGGCGAGAAGAATTAGGAGCCAGGAAACCACAGCCAGGAGATCCCAGGTACTGCACTGGAATTATTTTATTTATTTTTTATTATTTTGTTTTAATTATTTTTTTAAATTGTTTTATTTTAGAAATGAATACTTTTATTCAGCAAGAATGCATTAAACTGATCAAAAGTGCTAGTAAAGACTTTTGTTACAAAAGATTTCTATTTCAAATAAATGCCGTTCTTTTGAACTTTCCATTCATCAAAGAATCCTGAAATATATCATGGTTTCCACAACAATATTAACCAACACTGTTTTTAACATTGATAATAATCAGAAATGTTTCTCAAGCAGCAAATCAGTATATTAGAATGATTTCTGAAGATCATGTGACACTGAAGACTGGAGTAATGATGCTGAAAATTCAGCTTTGATCACAGAAATAAATTATATTTTGCTAT